CCGCTGCCCCCCCCCCCCAGTCCCCTGTCTGCCGGCAGCCCGCTCCTGCTGCCGCTGCTCTCACGCGCTGATGGCACCCGGCCCTGCTCATACCCGCTGACAGCGTGAAATGATTGGGGCCAGCACCATCAGCAGGTGCGAGTGGTGGCTGCTGCCTCGATCGCCCCTCAGGAGCAAGGGGAGGTGGAGAGGGCCTCAGGGGCAATCAGGGCCGGCAGCCTCTGCTCACACCTGCTGATGGTGCCGAGTGATCGGGACCGGCACCGGGCAGGGCACCGGCAGCAGGTGCGAGTGGCAGCTCCAGCACCGGCTGCAGGTGTGAGCAGGGCCGGCGCTGGTAGTGGGTGCAAGCGGTGACTCTGGCACTGGCAGCGGGTGCAAGCAGGGCCAGCACAGGCAGTAGGTGCGAGTGCCGGGCAGGACCATGATGTGCAGAAGCAAAGAATTTTCAGTAACCACCAGAGGCTTGCCCCAATGACAGTGACCAGCGCCCCCGCTCACCTGCTCCACCATCCCGCCACAGCCAATGCCCGCCATGTTCCGCACATGCCCCCTGATGGTCAGCGCACATCATTGCAACCAGTTGTTTGGTTGTTCTGCCATTTGGTCTATTTGCACATTAGCCTTTTATTATGTAGGATATGAAAGGAGAGCAATGAATTGAACAAGTAATTGTTAAGCAGAAAGGCACCAGAACTTGAAGATTTGGAAAATTCTCAGCATATTCATATTGCAAAAAATGAGAAATCTTGTTCTAAAGAGAACACTAAGAGTGTGACTGAGCTACCATTTGATAAAGAGATCACGGGTTCAATTTATGGACTTAACTGGCCATTTCAACAGAAGCCAGAAAATGAGATGGGGATTGTACTAGCAAAGATACTGCCAGTTTGAACAAAAGGAAACAGAAAAAAAAGACAAAATAAAGATTGTCAAACATCTTAGATCCTACAGGAACATACCATAGAGCCATTCGGCTGCAAACATGCTCTATCTATAATAATAAAAGCATAATATGCTAATTAGACCAGATGTCCTTCCAGACAACTTTCCGGATGAAGCCAGGGCTTTGAGGGAAGCCCGGGTCCCGGGTGTCAGAGGGAAGCAGGTGCCGGCAGCCAGGGGAAGGAAGACCTACTTTTGCACGAATTTCGTGCATCGGGCCTCTAGTTTCCCAATGAAAGAAAACTGAGAATGCAATTCAGAGATCATCAGAGCCACCCCCTCAGTTTCAACAACAAACTTCACCTTGAGGAATCCCAGAGGTGGAGCCACTGCCCTGTGGATCTGGAAGGCAGTGCATTGAATCAAAAGGATTAGTCTTGGGGCTTAAAATCTAATGGAATTTGCCTTGATAAATTTTAGGCTTGCTTGGAACCATCATTCCTCCCTTCTTTCCTATTTCTCACTTTTGAAATGGAAATGTCTATCCCTATGCCTGTATCACCATTGTATTTTTAGAAGCGCATAACTTGTCTGGTTTCACAGGTTCATAGCTGGAGAGGAATTTTGCCTCAGGATAAATCATACCTCTAGTTTCACCCATACCCGATTTAGATGATATTTAGATAAAACTTTGGACTTTGAGAGTTCATGCTGGAATGATTAAAACTTTTAGTGCTGTTGGAATAAAATAAATGTATTTTGCATATGAGAAGGACATGAATGTTGGGGTCCAGAGACAGAATGCTATGGACTGAATTGTGTCCCTTCAAAATCCATATGTTGAAGTCCTAACCTTACCCATCGCCTCATCTAACCCTAATTACTTTCCAAGGGTCTAATGTCCAAATACTGTTACATTGGGGGTTGGGGTTTCAACATATTAATTTTAGAGGGACACAATTCAGTCCATAACAAATGCTATTTCTATGCCTCAGATTAAGTAGTTTGTATTTAATTACCTTCTCCCATAATCCAAACCTGTCACTCTTCAGATCAGAGCTCAGGTACATTTGTTAAAATGGCAGGTTGCCCAATGTTTGTCTCTCATTCTGTGGCCACCAACCCATTTTTGAAGACTGTCTTGCTCTCCGCTGCTCTTGTTCTTTGACCTTTTAATATTGCTTAGACCTACTCTATCATTTTCTGTGGGCTTTTCCCTTTATTCCCCCAAAAGATTTTGCCTCGAAAACAAAAAGAGCTTTTCTTAGCAGCCTTGCTTTAGAAATTACTGAGTATCTAGTTACTGGCTCTGGGCATCCTTCTTGCCTTTACACTAGCCCAGCTCAGGTCCTAGCAGGATTCTAGGTGGACAGCCAGAGGGAGGAAGTGCAAATAATTGCCACTATTACTCCTCTGAACCTCAAGCGACTTCTTGGGTTAAAGATCTGGCAAATGTATGAGGAGAGGACACACCAAAAACCACCATGCCGCCGTCTACAATCTCCATAGAACTTTGAAGAAAGAAGACCAACACCCCTCTATATCTGAGTGAGAGCATGTGTATATGTGGATGCATAAAAGGGGAATTGAACGATTCATTAAGGAAATAATAAAAATACTCACTTTAACCTTTATGTATTTCTGTAATTTAATAGAACTTCTAATAACAGAAAATCCATCACTGAAAGACATATTCAGGAAATAAGTGGGGAGGGGGGAGAGCTAGAACTACAAGAGAAAAAGACAAAACACCATGATTTCACATTTCTCTAATCCCAAACTTGTGATAACTTGATTGGGGCCTGTTTTGAAATATACCTTAAAAAGGAAATTTTTTTGCAATAAACACTGTAAAGGAGATCACAATGAAGAAATTTTTAAATGGAAAGGGAATTTTTGAGACATCCTCAATGACTTTAGAAATACCCATTAGTTATATTAATTAAAATTTTGTAATATGCATTAAGCATAATATAAATCAAAGTCATAAAGTACTTCCTGTATTTTTACAGGCAATTCTGATATGTGCATTAAAACTGATCTAAAAACCTCCTACTACACACAAAACAATTTTTATTTTAAAGCACTTTCTAATTTACATATCCTTCATCTAGGCCTGAAATGGTGAAATTTTGTTCTAAACTTTCAATGATTTTTTTTTAATCCTCTCCGGAGGATTGATTTTAGAGAGTGGAAGAGAGAGGGAAAGACAGAGAGAAACATTGATGTGAGAGAAACACACATGCCTCCTATACATGTCCCCGACCAGGGCTCGGGCCAGGGAGGAGCCTGCAACCAAGGTACTTGCCCTTGACTGGAATCGAACCCAGGACTCTTCATTTGGCAAGCTGACACTCTATCCACTGAGCCAAACTGACTAAGGCATAAACTTTTAATGATTAATAAAAATGAAAAGCTGTAAAATAATAAAATTCTTAAACTAATGTATCTTTTAAAAGTATCAAAACATACCTGATGTCGTTACTTTGAACCTCTGCATAGTAATGCTTATTTTGGAAATAATTGCAAATATTAAACTAATTTTTATATGTCTATAAAATACCTTTTTTCAGGAACTGAAGTGAAAAAAATTGAAGCCATAAATGTTCCTTGCACACAGCTTCAATGTCATTTTAAACGGTTATACAATGAAGATATTGTACGAGACAGTGGACATATTGTTAAATGTTTAGATTCTTTTTGTGATCCCTTTCATATTTCTGATGAGTTACGAAAGGTAAGTACAGAATTGTTTAATTTCACAATAAAATTTTATTTCATAAAATGCTTCATGTCAAAAACTTTTGCCTGTCTAAAACCCACAAAATACCTCTTAGCAATGAATAATGACCAGTACATTGGTAGGTTTCTTGGATGAGACTTTTACCAAAACTTAATTACTTGTGTATTTCAGTAGTTCTCAACTGGCTGCTACTGGCATCTAATGGGTTGAGGCCAAGGATGCTGCGAAACATCATACAATACACAGGACAGCCCCTCACAACAAAGTTATCGGGCCCAAAATGTTCAGTAGTGTAAGGTAACAAAACCCTGACCTATGTAATAGATGGCTAGTTTTCTTCAATGTGGGGCTCTTAACATACCAAACGAGTATTTAAAAACATAGCTGGAGTAAAAGAATATTTTTATCTCAGATTTTTTTAAAAGCCATTTGATTAAGTTAATTTTTGTTTTCGTGTGGGGTATTGAACCTGGAATCAGAAGACATGGATGATTTTACCTAATTTTTGAGTTATGTACAAGATGATAACCATAGGTAAATCATTCAATATGTTGGGCCTCAAGATCTTACCTGTAGAGATTAAAATGTCCATTCTAGGCTTTGGGCAGGTAGCTCTGTTAGAGTGTCATCCTGATATGCTAAGGTTGCAGGTTTGATCTCGGGTCAGGGCACATACAAGAATCAACCAATGAATGCATAAATAAGGGGAACAACAAATCTCTCTCTCTCTCTCTCCTCTCTCTCTCTCTCCCCCTCCCTCCCTCCCTCCCTCTCTCTTTTTCCCCTTTCCTCTCCATTCCTCTCTCTCTAAAATCAATAAATTTTTTATAATGTCCATTCTACCTTCTTCCTGAAATCATTGAGAAAAATTAGTGGAGAAAGCATTTAAATACACTTTTTAAAAAGTATAAAATGCTGTTGAAATATTTTAATTATTGAGAAAGAGTATTTACAAAGTGGTTACAAATTAGGGCTTTGTTATCAAATAGACATAGGTTCAAATCCAGGCTCTGCCACTTTATAATTGATAATGTCTATAAGCCTCAGTTTCTTTATAAAATGGGAATAATGTACGAATTATGAAAGATAATGCATTTAAAGTGCTTAGCACAATGCTTGGCACTTAGTAAGCTTTTGATATTATTAATTAATAATTACTATTCTTATTCTACATTATGAGAATGTGCAAATCTAATGTGTTGCAGGTCCATATAGAAATGAAGTAGGGAAGCTACTGATGTACCATAATACACACAGCAATGCTGTCTGTAGGAGACCAGGAGGCATCCAGCTAGTTTGTACATTGCTCTACACTAGTACAATACTTAAGAGAACTCAGTTTAAGAAAATAAAATGAACTAATTGAGAATAACCAAACTCATCCAATTGAATGAGACTACATATAGTTTGGTCTTAAGTGAAGTATATTTATCTATACTAATAAAAGAGTAATATGCTAATTAGACCTGGGAGACCTTCCAGACAAAGACGGGCTTGGCCAGCCTGCAAACTGCCCCCAAATGGCCCTCAGCCCCTCGCCCAGGCTGGCCACGTGCCCCCCAGGGACCCTCACCCCGATGGGGGCATGGACAGCCTGAAAACAGCCATCAGCTCCTTGCCCAGGCTGGCCACGCCCCCCAGCAGGGACCCTCGCCCCCATAGGCCATCAGCCCCTCACTCAGGCTAGCCAGACCTCCCAGCAGGGACCCCCACTGCAGAGGCCTGCAAACCGCCCCAGCCCCTCGCCCAGGCCAGCCCTGCCCCCCAAGGGGCCCCCCACCCTGATTCAGGACCCCCTTCAGGGCAGACCAGCTGGCCCCACCCATGCACCAGGCCTCTATACTAATAAAATGTTAATATGCTAATTAGACCAGGAGACCTTCCTGACGTCCTTCCGCACAAAGCCATGGTGGCGGGGCTGAGGCAGAGGCAGTTAGGGGCGATCAGACCAGGAGGAGAGGGCAGTTGGGGGTGATCAGGCCGGCGGGGGGGGGGCTGTTGGGGGTGAGCAGGCCAGCCAGGGGGGTTAGTTGGGGGCAATCAGGCTGGCATGGGGGGCAGCTGGGGGCGATCAGGCCGGTGATTGGGCAGTTGTTGGGTGAGCAGGCTGGCAGGCAAAGTGGTTAGGGGCAATCAAGCAGGCAGGCAGGCAGGTGAGCGGTTAGGAGCCATCAGTCCCGAATTGCAAGAGGGATGTCCCAGATTGGAGAGGGTGCAGGCCGGGCTGAGGGACAACCCCCCGTGCATGAATTTCATGCACCCGGCCACTAGTATATAATAAGAATATAAATACTATGCAGTGAGGATCTGATAATAATTTCTACTCCTTCTTACCATGTATTGGAAATTATCTTTCAAACAGTGTCTAGTCTAGTCTGGGTTTCTCTCCTTTTGGGTACAATTAATCTCAGCTCTTCTCTCTGTCACTGATCTGTGTTCACATACTGAACTCTTTGTCTCAAGGCCCTTACCCCTAATTTTGGAGAATTTTACCAACACTTCTACAGAGAGCCTCAGCAATGGACTTTTTTAAAAAGAGGATTTGATTTCCAATAGAGTACTCTGTTAAAAACTGCCTGCTGTGGCTTGTCTTAGTTATGCCATGAATAGTGCACCTTTATTCAGGAAGTGCTGGGACTCAGTGTTTTTCTGGTAGTTGCCTGTATGTTTTGCTCCTGTGTTCTTTGCCACTCTGTTCTTTTAATTTGGTTGCTTTCTGGCTAAAAAATAAATAACTTCTAGATTTAGCATGAAATAGAAAGGGCCCCCATTGTACAGCAATACGGATTCTATTGGCAATGCTGTGTAACATAAGTACTGATGATAATAACCTCCTTTCTGACTGCAGCTCGGAAGTTGGCTCCTTAACCGTTGCGTACCAAAGCACTAAACAGATCTACATGTGAATGGAGAGGAAGATCAACCCTGGAATGTTATTGTTTAACATTCATTCCAAAAAAAATTTCTAATTACTGTAATTTTTAAATTGCATAACCTAGTCAACTCAACATATGAGAGTGCTTGTAAGGAATGTGTTAACAATTCATTCTTTTTAAAAATTAAATGTATCGGGTGACATTGGTTAATAAGATTAGATAGGTTTCAAGTGTACCTTTCTATGGTACATGAGCTGTGTATTGCATTGTGTGCCCACCACCCAAAGTCAAATCATCTTCCATCACCATATATTTCAACTGTTCATTCTTAAAGGCTTTAGTCACCCTTGTCTTAAGCCAGATCAACCTTGGGCTTTAGTAGCTACAACCTTGGGCTTTAGTATCACATCATTCCTTACAGAAGGGGAAGAAGGGAGAGAAGGGAGATGTACAAGTGGCACACCCAGGGAGCAGTGAGCTACGGACCACTTCCCCTTACCTATCTTTTACTATATATACTTTGGCTTTCATCAAGTCATTATAAGTAAACTTTATATAGACAGCACCATAGAGTTTATTATTTTTTAAAATGCCTCATATAATGACATTGTGATGAATTTTCATTTGAGATTGGGGTAAATAGAATGTTAAGCTTAATCAGTTTTCCTAATTAAGTGTACTTCTTGCTACTAGACAGTGATTGTTGTATAACTTATGTTTCCCTCTTTTATCTGTATGGTGATGTTAAGTGTACTAGTATGTATGATATTTATAGCTTTTCTCCATTTAGAGTTCCTTATGTGTATTTGTTTTCTCTTCCCATTTTATTTCTTGGTAAGAGTTTTTAAAATCCCTTATTATGTTTATCTAATTTTATCTATATTTTACTGTTAGCTATTACCGTACTTTAAAAAGTATGTGGGATATAAACAATTTAATAAAATAAATATATGTTATAGCATACATTCATCACCTTGTTCATGTCCACCACAGTCAACAAATTAATCAATTGCCTGTAATGCCCAATGGTATAAAACAATCCCCAACATCAGACCTAGTCAAACTATTTTCTGAAAGAGAGCAGGAAAGGGAGAGGTGGTTATGAGGCTCTAATTACCTGAATAGTTCAAAATGGAGTAACTGTGGGGGTAAGGAAAGTAGTGACCCAAACACCGGAAGGTGAGAGGACATAGAAAATGACCATTGTGTTTAGCCTCCATAGAAGCAAAGACTATAGACCTAATTCGATGGAGAAACTTCTCCTTTTATTTGTGCTCCAGTTGTTTCTAAATAAGATTTACGGTGACTCAACACTAAATTGCAACAGCACTAAAACAATTACTGAAGATACAAACTAGAACAAAGAAATAAAGTAGAAGAGAAGGTTTAGATTTAGATTTCTTTCTTTCATTGAAGGTCAGTACCTAAGGATAAAATGGGGGTGGAAACCAGCTGCAAGTCTCACAGATCACTCGCCAGTTGCCTCAGGATTGGTTATTAAAATAGGACTAAGATGATATAAATTGAAACTTGCAAAAACATAAAAATTAGAACCTCAAATTATGTTACATTAAGATGAATTTCTCATCTTACATAGGTTTTGCTAGTGGAAGACTCAGAAAAATATGAAATATTCAGCCAACCAGATAGAGAAGAGTTCCTCTTTTGTCTTTTCAAACATCTTTGCCTTGGTGGAGCCCTTTGTCAATATGAGGATGTGATTAATCCATATCTGGAAACAACAAAGCTTATCTATAAAGATCTAGTAAGGTAATGTTGCTAGATTACAATATGTAAACCTCTAGTTAATAGAATAAATTACTTGTTAAACTATGGTGGGATTACCCAGCATCTGTTTGTGGTCCAATTAGCAACCAAAGTAAATAAAAATGGCACCACCCTAACCTCCTCATAACCTCCTCCTCTTCCAAGCTAGAAAATGTCTTGATTTTTCTGTCCCTTTTTTAAAAAAAAATTTTTTTTAATTGATTTCAGAGAGGAAGGAAGAGGGAGAGAGAAACACCAATGATGAGAGAGAATCATTGATCAGCTGCCTCAGCCGGAATTGAACCCCGGACCCTTGAGTCTGCAGGCTGATGCTCTATCCACTGAGACAGACTAGCTAGGCCTCCCTGTCCCTCTTTTAGTGCTCAGTCCCCTCATTCTTCACCTGCCTCTTGTTTCCTCGTTCAGACCTGTTACCTGCTCCATTCCTCATTAGCAACTGCCATCTTCCAGGTCTTCTTTACCCCAGGCCTCCTATTAAATCTCAAGAGAACAGAAGATCCCTCGGGATGTTTGAATTTGCTTGACTAATAGTTTAAAAAATTACCTTTGTAATTTTGGGAAGAATTTTCATCTAAGTGTAATCTTTACTTTTTAAACTAATCCCAAATCCCAATTTGTTTTAAGTATTCTAGGTTTTTTTTTTCTTTATGAAGATCAAATGCGGATAAAAACTTTATATCTTTTATTTATGTTTTAATTTTAAATAAAATGAAAGTTCTTTGGTTGGGTTTTTCACTGATAAAGATATTGGCTCATCTTTATAGGCAAAGGGGATAGGAACAAGTGAAACAAAGGGCCCCAGAGTTTAGCTATAAAAGTTACTTTACCAGGAAAACAACAGAATTTACTTCTATCAAACTCCTGATTGTTACTTACTTAAACTCAACACCTCAGTTTTCTTATCTATTTCATGTATCATATAGCTATACAAAAAACTACACGATTTAGCTATTTTATTTTAGTTAATTTCTGATATATGGTTTTAAAAACAAAAATATTTCTATAAGTGATCTCTGATTTTTATGAAAAAGTCATTAAAGGTTGCTGGATGAGATATATTCGAAACAGAATTTCAGAAAAAGCACACAGATACCTACATCAAACATTCTGTTCTTACCATTCGCAGCTCATGAAAACTTGCAAGACCACTTCTAGCACTCCCTGTGGACACTTCTCATTATACCTCGACATACACACACCCCACTGCCACCACAGTGTGTGGTTTCTCAGCAGCCACATGAACCTGTGGAATTCCTCACTACCATGCACTGTGGAGGAGGAAATTCTATTGGAGATATTTGAAATAGAAGTAACTTTAGAACCTAAACATTAAAGAAACTTCTGTTTTCTTCTACATTCCCTTCCCTGGATTCTTATTTGCGATTCTCTTCTACACTCTTTGGGGGCTAAAAAAAAAAAAGTATGCCTCAAAGACTAATTAAATGAGTAGCCAAAATTCATGACATCTTACAGACAAATATAAATTGAGTCCATGGAATCACTTAATCAGGCAGCCAGTAAGTGTTAATATTGTGCACAGAACTCTGCCAAACTCTAAGCTTCAGAGTCTTTAGAGCCCAAAGAGACTACAAAAGGAGCATCAGATAGTCCTTGACTTTAAGGAAATTACAACAAACTAACATTAAATAATAGTAATGTAAATTGTTTAAAATCTTTTATAAGTAAAATTTTTATATAATCAAATGTTCAATTAATTATAGGCAAGTGTTAATAGCATTTTATACTTTATACATGCTGCACAAATTCAAAAGAGGAAATTGTCAGTGTCAGCAGTCAGGGAAGTCTTGAATCAAATGGAGTCCATGAGAGCCAGCAAAGAGGAGGGCAGCCTATTCCCAGCGCAGGGGAGATGCACGCAAGTCCTCATGGTGGGGGAGGTGGGGAAGGAGCCCAGCCCAATTAGAGCCAATACAGGGCTGATCCTCAGAAATTAGCCCAAGTGATATCAATAAGAAATCATTCATTTATTATTTTATTTCTAGACCCTTACATACTTTTTAAAAGAACTATATGGGTCCTGGCCTGGTAGCTCAGTTGATTAGAGTATCATCCCAATACGCCAAGTTTGCAGGTTCAACCCCTGGTCAGGGCACATATAATGCATAATTAAGTGAAACAACAAAATGAGGTTTCTCTCTTCCTCCCTCTTCTTCTCTCTCTCCCTCTCCCTTCCTCTCTTGAACTTATATACATATATGCATAGCCCATGGCCAGACAATAATGCTGAGAAGTCTGGGGAGGGGAAGGGAGCAGGGTGGAGGGGGTCAGTGGGAGTAAAAGGGGGATATCTGTAATACTTCCAACAATAAGGATAAATTTTAAAGATAATAAAATAAAATTAATTAATTAAGAATGTTTTGAAAACTCTCCCACCATTTAAAAAAATGAAAAGAGCAATATGGACATTATGTCCCCATCCGTCAAAACCATTGTTATCTGGAGAGTGAGTTAGTGATTGCTAACATCTGATACAATGCAATTATTAGTGGCATACCTGAAATCACTAATATCACTTTACATTTCCTTTTATTTTTTTTCTTAAGAGACATCAGATGGATGTTACTGTACTTGACCTATAAAATTAGAAAATTATCTTAGAGATATTTTAAAGTAATAGCAATATAGGATTAGAGGTAATAAAATGGAGTAATTGATTTATTTCTGTTAGGAACCAACTTTTAATGTATAAATCGTAGTTTTTTTTTTAAATAATACACTTATAGGTCCTGGCTAAGTAGCTCAGTTGGTTAGAGCATTGTCCTCATTCACCAAAGTTGTGAGTTCAATCCCTGGTCAGGGCACATACAAGAATGGAACAACAAATGGATGTTTTTTTTCTCTCTCTCCCTTCTCCTTCCCCCTCTCTAAAATCAATAATTTTTTTTAAAGAAACCTCTCTAAAATCAATAATTTTTTTTTTTTAAAAGAAATGTGGACTTTTTAAAAATACACTTATGGTACATGTTAATATGTGTTAAGTGGTTGTTAAAGGAAGTATCAAATACTAAATTTTCCTCTAAGTTTGATAAACACAAACTTTTACAAGGTGTTTTTTTTTAGATTTTTTTAAATTGAGGGGTAATTTCCATACACTAAAGTGAACAAATCACAATGTACATACAGGTTGGTGAATTTTTATATATGTTTACATTCATATAAACACCTTCAGATCAATATTTAAAATTTTAAAAATAAAATTAGATGTAACTGTAGATAGGTTCTGTATTTTGATCTGGTTGGTTGTGTAGGTGTATACAAGTGTTTTATATGTAATTGTTATAGCACAGAATTTTAAATCTACTCTTCAACTTTTTAAAAAGTATATCTTGGGCATTAGATAAATAAAGAAAATTACCTCAATCCATGTCATATAAATATATGGAAATCAGTTAATTACATGAATTCTGGGTTTAAATCAGAATGAAATGTTTTAGAAATGAAAACAGCCTAAGAATCTTGAACCCTGAAATGTCTTGGGTCTGGCCATCCCAATAGCTGCACAGGCTCAAACACACACACACACCTCACCCTCCCACAAAGTCCACCCTCTTCCTCCTTTCTCTCTTCTCCCATTACTTTTACATAATTAGCAAAGGAGAAGCAGTACTTTCACCTGATAAAGTGAAGAGGAGGGATAGCTCCTTTAAATTTAACCTACAAATCACATCTGAGTAATACCCTTGATGCGTATGTAAGGACAGGATAAACAGGTGAGGTGTAGGAAAAGAGAACTGGACTCTGTGTCAACTAGGTTCTATTCCCAGAAATACCACTTTTAGTTGGAATGTCTTAAATACATCATTTAACTTTCTAGTACTATCTATAATAATAAAAGCATAATATGCTAATTAGACCAGATGACCTTCCGGACGAAGCTGGGGCTGTGAGGGAAGCCTGGGCCCCAGGTGCCAGAGGGAAGCTGGTGCTGGCAGCCGGGGGAAGGAAGGCCTACTCTTGCACGTATTTTGTGCATCGGGCCTCTAGTTGTTTATAAAATTGGTGAAATGATGCCTACCTCACTGAGTTGTCTGATCTTTATGAGGTAAATTATATAAAGGTGTTTGCAGATTATAAAGCATTATAAATATAACCCATATATATTTACATGTAGATATCTATCTGTAGTTTATTTCCTCTATCCTCAATTTGCTTTCTGACTATATATTGGTAATGTTTTGTGGAGAGTATAACTGAAAGACAGCTACTGAGAGGAAATGCTTTTTTAAATTTATTTTTTATATATTTTTATTGATTTCAGAGAGGAAGAGAGAGAGAAAGAGAGAAACATCAATGATGAGAGAGAATCACTGATCAGCTGCCTCCAGCATGCCCCCCACTGGGGATTGAGCCCACAACCCAGGTATATGCCCTTGACCAGAACTGAACCCAGGACCCTTCAGTCCACAGGCCAACACTCCATCCACTGAGCCAAACTGGCCAGGGCTGCTTTTAATATTATATAATTTAGTAATACATAATTTAACAAATAGCTTCCATATACATTATCTTACTTAATTCTCCTATAATCCTAAAAGGAACCATAGTATGCCTCATTTACATATGAGAAAATTAAGGTTCAGAAATATTAATCTTGACCAAAGTGAAATAACATCAGTGGCAGAACTGGCATTTGTGTTTAAGTTGTGTAGTTAATGTGTATTTATCTACCCTTCCAGTTCTCTACACTTCAATCTTTTACCAATTCTCTTTTTTCCAATAATTGTCTCTGGCCTTAGAGTCATGTCGTTTGAATCTCAGATTGGCCCCAACCTTCTTAAATTCAGATTTTTGCAATTCCAACTCAGTTGACTTTGCATCACCCTTGAATGAAACCGCAGCTGCCACTCTCTTTAAATCACTTTAGTTGGATGTTATATATTTCCATATTACATATGATTAAGAACACCTGAATACTAAATGCATTATGCCAATGCTCGTTATATTTAAAATGTATCTTTCTCCCTTATTTTAGTGTTCGAAAGCATCCTCAGACCAAGGAAATACAAATTACCTCTTTCATCTTTAAAGTTACAGCATATGTAAGTGGAGAGGAAATTTACTACCAATGAATTTAATTACTTGCTATTAACAGGGTTGTTACAACTGGAGTTAGCAGTTAGGGCTATGTTATGCCTATGAAAAAAGATGATGATATCTAGCTTTTTGTTAAATTTAAGGTATGCTTTTATTTGGAGAACAGTATGAACTTTCCTCCCTACCTTCCTTTCTGTTGTACATGTCTAATAATAGTCCTTAGTAAGAGCTAAATCTGTGACTCATGGGACGTAAATCATAGTTCTCTGTCAAACCACAACTTATAGGTCAAATAAGAATGCCATGAATGTCTTTGTGCCACAGAATCGGATGCTTGAATTTTAGTAGCATACAAAATATTACTGACACATCTAAGTGTCTTCATTCAATCAGTTCAGTAGTTATTGAGTATTTACTATTCTGGGCTAGGTGCTTTTTATTGATAAACAAAAGAAATATAGTCCCTCATAGTACATATGGACCATGTTTTAAAAGAAAACAAAGATAGAAGAAAATTGCAAAATGGAAATTTTAGCAATATTAGCACTTTATAAGCACTTTTTCAAAAGATGGATTTCTTTTTAGACTACAAATTCCTTAAGGTAAAAAATTATGCATGTTTGTGTAGTAATGAACATATGTATTGTTAGCATAGTAGACTGTCGATATTTCTTAAAAATTACTTAACTGCCAATTTATTGTCAAAGATTTAATGTTTCATGACATTTTAACAGAAAATATATTAGTTAAATATGTTGACTATTATTTGAATACTGTTGTGTACGAAATAATTTAAGTTTATCTTTTTCAGGATTCTGATGGTGTGTGCTACCCTTCAAGAAAAAGTCATGAACAGACATTTTCTTACTTTATTGTGGATCCTATCATGCGTCATGTTCATGTTTTATACCACTGTTATGGCGTGGGAGAAATGTCTTAGCAGTATTCTTTCAGATAATCTATATTTACTACATTTTTATTTACCAATTTTTATTTTAGTACTTACTTATAGATAAGCAATTACTTTGCAAGGTAATTAAGGTAAAATGTAAAGAACCCACTTAGAGCAGAAGCAAATGCCAAGATGCTTTTCTTTTTTTTCTTTTTTTTAAATATGTTTATATTGATTTTAGAGAGAGAAAGAGAAAGGGAAAGGGGGAAATAGAAACATTGGCTGCCTCCTGCACATCCCCTGCTGGGGATTGAGCCGCAATCTGGGCATGTGCCCTGACCGGGAATCAAACTGGCAACCTCTCTGTGCATGGGACAACGCTCAACCAACATGCTTTTCTTTAAATTTGTCTTTTAAAAAGCTAACATAGGAAATAGACTCTATCCCTAACATAGTCTATACCAATACATTTGGGAAATTTTTATAGAAGTTACAAAGAACGAAAACTCTAGTTAATATTTGTTGCATTCGAATTCAAGTGAGTCCTTAATTTTCCATGTATTTTATTTTAGAAGCTAATTAATTCCCGATTGAAATTGTGGAAGAAACTTAAACATCTCTACCATGTATCATTAATATGAATTATTAGCTTTTTAAATTTGAATTTTATTTAATTATACTTCTACATTGTATAAAGATTTATATCTCAAGGGCTGTGAAAAATATAACAGTTTCTTTGCTTCATTTGTCCCACTTAAAATCCTCAATTAAAAAGGAATGTTCTGAAAGTAATTGTAAACTCTTTTAGCACATAATAATTAAAATTGCAGCTGCCCACCGCTAGTACAAGATCTGCATGGAAACAGAGAGAGTTGCCCTGATGGTATTATTAAGTTGGCAAAAGAATAAAGAACAGGTCTCTTTGTACTGTTTCCTCATTACATTCATAACATGAATATCTAACTTAGATGTCTTTTAATGGAAAAAGTAATTGACAAGAAATGTTGAGACTTTAAGGAGAGGCAAGTTTGGAATATTTGTTTCTATGTTGTAGGGATAAGGATGATAATCTTGGATTTGAACTTGTGGATATACCTGGAAGGCAACTGGCAAGCTGGGTATAGAGGTCAGGAAAGAGAGTTTAGCTTTTAATACCTAGCACAATGGCTTGGCACGTTAATAATATATTGAGTATTTTCTATATATGTTCAAAATATCCATAGATTTTTTTAAAATCATATAAAAAACATAAAATCAAGAACTAAAATGCCTACTTGCTACCAGTCTGGCTGCCTGCCACACAGGCCCCCTACAATCTGGGGACTCCCTCTTTATCAATCAGTTAGTCAATCAGTTATTTTTGAGTACCAATTTCATGCAATGCAAGGCACTGTGCTGTTTACTTTGGGGAAATACTCCCTATAAACTTTGTAGAGAAGGTCATCTATAAGAGTATGTCTATGAACAGTGATTGTTACATGAATTCAGAGATGGAAGAGACCACTATGAACTAGGCTTGGGAAGGGCTTGGTCTGGCTTCTACAAAAGAATGGATGGGGTTCCAGCACCTGGCAAGGAGAGCAGGCCAGCTGAGTAGAGGAGCATGCTGTGGCAGAGTGCCCTGAGCCTCGCTCTGGGATGAAAGTTCGGAGGCAGAAGATGGGGACTGATGCGGAGGAGCTGCCAATATTCTCTCTCTGCTTTAAAGGTGGAGGTGAATACACCTTTGAAGGAAGATCAATCCATTGTTTTGGGAAAATCATTGTAATGACCTATCTGTGATTATGCAGGTTTTTGTATTAAGAGGTAGTAATAAGACTTTGGGGTAGCCAGTCAAATTGCCTGGATTGTTACTTCTGCCATTACTTGCTGTGTGACCAAGCTAGTTATGACCTTTCTGTGCCTTAGTTGCCTTTTCTATAAAAGGGGAAATTAATAGGACTCCTGCATAGATTATTGTGAAAATTACATATAGACTAGTGTATACACACACACACACACACACACACACACACACACACACATATATCTTAGAATGGTGCCAAGTACATGGTTTAAGTGTTCATGAATTGTGGCTTTTTTCATTCTCTGTTGAGGAAATATGAAAAAATCTGGAGCTAAGCAGCAAAATAATGTAAAAAGCTGTCTTCCTTAAGGTCAGAATTGCTTTTCTTAAGATTATTATTATTGATTAATCCTCACCCAAGGATATTTTTCCCATTGATTTTTAGAGAGAGTGGAGGGGTGGAAGGGAGGGAGAGAGAGAGAAACATCAATGTGAAAGAGACACATCCATTTATTGGTTGCTCCCACATGCCCCCCTCCCCTCACTGGGGCCAGGGATCAAACCTGCAACCCTTGCCCTTGACTAGGAATTGAATCCAAGACCCCTCCGTGGGCAGGCTGAAGCTCTAATCACTGAGTCATGCCAGCCAGGGCAAGATTATTATTATTTTTAATATAATTTTATTTAGAGAGGGAGGGAGAGGGGGAGAGATATAGAAACATTAATGATGAAAGAGAATCATTCATTGGCTGCCTCCCGCAAGCCCCTCACTGGAGATCAAGCCACAATCCTGGCATGTGCCCTGACCAGGAATCACACAATGACCTCCTGGTTCATAGGTCAACGTTAAAACACTGAGCCCACAGGCCGGGCTTATTTTATTATTAATTTGACTAGATAGAGTTTAAGAGATGGGAGCCCTTTTTTCCCCTTTCTCTGAGCCCCAGAGAAGGTAAAGGACCTAAGCTTGGATTCTTGGTGTTTCTTTGGCAGCATTTTGCACACTTCGAATTATTTGCTCAACTATTTGTAATTATTTAATGTCTGTCATGAAAACAGCAACTGTGTCTATTTGGTCCCCCCTTGTATCCTCAATGCCTAGCATATTGCCTGGCACTTCACTGACACTGAATCTGTGTTCCCTGGCCGACTCAGTCCACGTGATGGGCGTGTGACTCAGGTGTGGAGACTGAGGGAGCAGGGAAGGGTGGTGAATATGGTCACAGGGCATCAGTAGTACAGTAGGTCCACTCGTTATCCCTAAGCCTGTGTAAAATTGTGCACACCGGTATAAACTGGATGGAGCTGTACTGTGTGGAATCAGACCAGCAGCCTGGGACGAATTATCCTTGGAGAACAGCAGCAGCCTTAGAAGCCAGCTTTGAAGAGCAAGTTGTGATCAATTGAGGATAGGGTAGTATTCTGGAGTGAGAAACTGACCATGGTGACATGTGACAACACAATGGTTTTCTGGGACTTGACAGCATTTTTTCAGAAATTCTGAAAATGACTTAAGAGAAGGCTTACGGAATTATAATTTGGACATTCAAACAATGGATTCAGGATGAGAACCTGGGACACTTAGGTCTGTCTCATGAGCAAAAAAATAGGCAGAAGAACACAAGGTGATTTGGGGGGACATGAGTACATCTGATGAGTTGGGACTGAGGAGTCCTGTTCAGGAGTTCTGGGTAATAACACAGAGAAGACAGATTAATGGGGAACCGGTCACTGAGGGCTGTGGGTACAAAGCTAAGAAATGTAAATCTTTTAAATAGATGACATATAGCAGTCATTAAAGACTTTGGAGCAGGGTGGTAGCATCATGAAAGTGATACTCTGGAAAGATTAGTCTGGCAGTGATGAATTGGGGTAAGGAAAGTCCAAAGTCCAAAGATCAAACAGAAGATTATAGTAGTTGTCAAAGCACAGAACTGACGGATCTAAGTTCATAGCAATGGAAACCCTTTTTGGGATCGTGAAGTATGTGACAATGGAATGCAGATTAGAAAAAAATGAAATATGGGCCCCAGAAAGGCTAGCGGCTGGGTGAATTATGAAGTGCTGGGTATTTGAGGTAGTGAGGACTGGGAAGTGGGAACTGTGGTAGGAATATGTGGTCAGAATGGGGAAATCCCTCGTCCTGCCTTTCGTTCCTGTCCCAGGCCACGCTCGACCAACCTTGGTCCTTACAACTTTGAAAACCTAGGTCTGAAGTTTCTAAAAACTGACTGGAGGTTTCTTAGGAAAGCTATTGATCCCGAAGGCTTCTTAGTCATCCAATTAATCAGCAAGTATTCATTCATCCTTCCACAGATGTTTATTGATTACCTACTGTGTGCTGGGCATTTCTAGGCACTGCACATACAGCAATGAACAAAACAGACAAAACTTTCTATATTTGGAAGTTTACATTCTAGTGCTCATAATAGTGGTAGGTGCAATGAGAGAAATACCCAATTACTCCTATGAAACTTGAAGTTTTTATTGGAGACATGACACATTTTTAAATATTTTTCAATCTGGTGGGTGTGAAATGATACTTATTTTCTTAATTACTCTGACTTTTTATATAAAATAGAGCATTGCCCTAACCGGTTTGGCTCAGTGGGTAGAGCATCAACCTGTGGACTCAATGGTCCCAGGTTCGATTTCGGTCAAGGGCATGTACCTTGGTTGCGGGCACATCCCCAGTAGGGAGTGTGCAGGAGGCAGCTATTGATGTTTCTAGCTCTATTCTCTCCCTCTCCCTTCCTCTCTGTAAAAAATCAATAAAATATATATATTTTTAAAAATAGAGCGTTATTTTATGTATTTTTACAAACGTGTATTGATTCTGATGGGTAATTTCAGGGTTAGGAACCACTGCTCTACTCTACTTTTTTTCTAGTTTTAAAAAAAGGTGGGGGGGAGAAAGAATACATGAAAAGCAAAAAACAAAGGAAAGAATAAAAGACAGGGAAGTATGCTGTCTCTTACTGTAAGAGCTGCATTAATTAGCACTAAAAGCTGCATTTAGGGCCACATTTAGCAGTGTCCAACTGGCAAACTCTAGCAGCCGGTATACCTGATATCCTCTAATGTAAGCCTTCAATCTCCTGACTTGGCACACAAGTTAAAGTCCATTCGAATAGGCTGGCTAGCCTGGGTTTCAATAAGGCTGAAACTTACCATTCCTGTTTATCTTGTCTTTTTTCTTTTGTAAAGAGAGAAAAAAAATGTCACTGAGCTTTAGCAAACATCAAGCATCTAAATTATTTTTCATTACTAGAAAGGTGTGTGAAAGAAATAGTAAAATGGAAAACACCTATAGCAATATAAATAGACTTTTATTCAATCAATTTTTTTTATCAACTGGCACCCTTCTATGCCCTTAACGTATTGTAGAATAAAACACGTATTCTTAAAATACTTCG